ATGAAACTATGAATATAATCACGTCCATCTTTCCATGGGTGAGTCTTTGTCTGCAGGAGCTGGCCACGAAGCGGATCCGGGAACATCCCACCCTTCCACCCAGAGAGAGTTTGGACACAGTGGATGCCGGTGAGGTCTGGCCTTCAGCCTTCTGCGCCTTTGCAGGGTGTGCCTGGGAAGAGCTTCATGGAACAGAAGGAGATTTAAATCAACATCTCCAGGCTCACCACGCACACGAATTGAAACCCATATGTGAACGCATGCTGAGAGGAAAGGAATCAGATGCCATGCGCAGCGTCTACTGCCAAGCCATAGCCATGAAATGTCGTGATCAAGCGCCCGTGGCCGGAACTTCTCTGGACCGCATGGCTTTGAGAGGATTCGCCGAGGCAACGGCAGGCAACAAAGTCGAAGCTCTGGTCTGTTTCTGTTGTGGCGGAATCCACCCATATGTTGAGGAAGTTGCAAGCAAAGGAAGCATCCAGTGGCATCAGCCCTTGCGACAAGAAGGGTCGAATGGCAAGCTCCTCTTTTTGGGACAGCCCTTGGCAAAAATCGAAAGCTTGATAGGCCTGCAGACTTACCTGACTCGTTACAATGCGGTGGAGCCCAGGCCACAAACCAGACTCACAGACCACGAGAGCTTTGAGGATTGGCGGCTGAGATTACCAGAGCTGGAAGACGGTGTCTTGCTTTGCTGCCCTGAGGACATTGGAGTTAAGCAAAGTGCACCTGTAAATTTTTAGAACATTTGCTTCCTACACACACACACACCCCTTACAGCCCGCAGCCTGATAAAACATCTGGTTCCCTCTTTGTTCGTTCCGCGGCGCGGCCTGTGAGGACCACCAGTGCTGTGAGGAGCACGGGGCCGAGTCGAAAGCATTATGCGAGAAGTGTCGGTTGCCCATTTGTGCAGATTGTTTCGAACATCTATCAGAAGCAAAGTTACCACCGTTGAGCTATGCCAATGACATGTGGACCGGCTACGGCTTGGAAAGAATCTACCGGGAGAAGGTCACAGCCATCGAGCTGATATGCGCTTCACCATGTTTGACAAGTCTTGTGATGTTGTCCATGGAAGGAAAGCATAGGCAAGAAGCACCTGGCGCCGTTTTTGATGAAGAAGCGCACATGGCCAGACACCGATATGGCTCCAGGGGCAATGTCATCACATTCCCGCTCCCGGTCGAAGATCTACTACGACAACTCAGTGAGCAGACCTTGCCCGAAGGGGATGATGCGGTGAATGCTCTACCACGGAGCGGCAAGCAACTTGGGGAGGTCTTCCGCGTGATCCTCAAAACGAACAAGAAAGGCAAGACGACAGACGAGGAGATCAAGACCCTTGTCCATCAAGCGCGGGTCCGGAGACAGGCGCCTGATTCAGTATGCAAAAGCGCGCGTCATCTACAGCACTTTATAACATACAAAGATGATTGCTACATAGATTTATGTTCTTTTATATATATATATAGATATGTAGCACCGGCTTCGCCTATGCACGTGCACGCAACTCAACAACCTGCAAGGTGGTGGTTGACCTGATCCTGGACATGAAGAAGTTGGGTCACCCTTCTTTCACCAACCTGGACGAGGCAGCGGTGAAGGAAAACGCGGCAAACCTTCCAGAGGACGGGGTGCCCCCAGAGGTGGTGAAGGTGGTTGAGAGGTTGAAGGAAGAGATGGAAGCAGAAGGCATGCCAATGGAAAGCAAACTCCAACCACAAAAGGCTGCCACGCCATCAGAGGCACCAATTGCAAACATCGAGGAAGCAGGCGCCACCTTTTCTACACAGAGGCCGCGCGCTGTTGTTGCTGAAGGAAGGAGCCTCAACCCGGCGCATGATGTCGAGAAGGCAGCTTTGCAGGACATGGTGAAAGAGCTGGGCCCTTCATCAGACTTGCAGACCTTCGAAATCCGAGCCGGCAACCAGCTGCTCGATATGTTCCGGCCTTGTTACTGGTCTTTGGCTTTTTGCTTCCTCTTCAAGCACGCCACTGCCGAGCCGGACGTGACAAACACCACGAGCAGCAGGCAAGAACAGGAAGCGCAGACATCGAGAAGGCGCACAGGCAACAAGACAGCGCCAGAAGTCGGCATTCAAGAGTGGGCAGCAGCCATGCAACGTCAAGTGGCATCCCAATTTCGAAGAGACTGGAACTTCAGCCCAGCCTTGTGGAACTACCTGTTCCGGACCATGATCAACTTGCAGCCCAACGCATCCAAGTTCACAGTGGCAAATGCCGAGGGGCGAGGCCGCCGCGACCTCACCAACGATGAGCTCAAGATGGCAGCGCAAGAGATCTACAACAGCATGCAGTACGGCATGTATGTGGACATCAACGGGGAAAACAAGGCCGTGAATGGAGACTTGACCAAGCTTCGACATGTACCAGGCCTGTCAGCAGCTGCCCACAAGATGATCACCAATTTGGAGGCACGCACTCGCAACGTTGCTGGAACCCACGAAGTGCGAAGCACCATGCGCCATCAAACGCATGCGTATCGCGTCAAGTTTGGCCTCGCCATCTTCATCACCTTCTCTCCCTCAGAGCGAGATTCCACGCTCATGGTGCGGATGGCCCGGGCTCGGCCAACTGACCCAGCCGTTGTCGCAGACAGACAAAAAGCTTTCTATAGCCGGGAAAAACCTCAGCTGGACGTGGAGTTCTGTCGCCTGTCGCCGGAGCGGTTGGCCGAGGCAGGGCCCACCAGAAAAAGCACAATGGGCTGATGAGCCTTTGTTACTTGCATGGTTGAATGCTCTTGGTTGGTGTTAAATAATATTTCCTTTATGGTTGATCTTCTTAACCATTAAACTTTGTTGGTCGATCGCGTGCAAGGAGCTGCCAAACTATGAAGACAGGCGGGCCCTACTTGCAAGAGATCCATTAGCCTGCCACTACGGCTTCCAAGTCTTGGTGGGACTGGCGCTGAGGCATATCTTCGGGTTGCGCTTCTGCCCACAATGCCCCAATTGCAGCTGTTCAGACGAGCCTTGCGCAGATGCCTTTGGTAGCAATGCCACAGCGAGAGGGGGTGTGTTTGGGCGCATGGACGCAGTGTATGGGTCATTGGAATGCCAAAGAGCGGTGCATTTCATCTCCACGGCCAGTTCTTCTTGCAATGCGTCCATCAGTTCACGCCTCTTTGTGAGCTAGTGCGCTTGGGCAAAAAGCCGATGCTGGAACTGCTGCGGAAATACTCGGACTATTCCGCGCATGTGAGGAGGATGGTGTACTGCGACGAAGCCGGCTGGGATGAAAAGCAGAAGGAAGTGGAAGACGAGTGGCCCGAATACAAGCAATCGACCTTGATGCTGGGCCGGCCTGGGTACCAAACCGAGCAAGAGATGCCCGCGCTGATGTGGAAGCAGGCCTACCTGGCCGAAGATGTGGAGCTGTTGCAGATGCACAAACAGCACCACGTGCACATCGTTGATGGGCAAGGCTTTCGGCGACCGCTGGCCCAGTGCCAAGATCGGAAAGATCGGACAAAGTGCAAAGCCCATTTTCCCAGGGATGCGTGGATGACAGAGTCGCCCATGCTGATTTGCAGCGGCATTGCTGAAGCCAAGAACATGCCGCACAAAGGCAAGAAAAGCATGGTGGGATCACCCTGGGGGCCCTGCAACGATGGCAATGTCAATGGCAACCATCCAGCCTTGCTTGCAAGCTTGAGATGCAATGGGGATGTGCAGCTACCCTATCGCTTCCCGATCACCGTTGACACGCACGGGCACGGCCTCTGCGAGCAGCATTGCGATGAAAAGATGCCCATTTGGCAGCTCATCAAAGAAGCTCAGGCCAACCAAGCAGCGCAAGCCGGCTATGCCACCGACTATCAGAACAAGCGGCTTCCACTGGCAATACATGAGGGGAAGGATTGGACGAGAGGACAGCAAAACCTCCACGATGACATGAAAGACAAAAAGACTGGGTATGTGGGGGCCAGGACCACCAAGCGCTTGATCACCGACTGCTATGGTAGAGGTGTCGTCCGTGGAGCCGTGGAATCTTGCAACCTCATCCTCAACGCCTCGCAGCAGGATCCCACCTGGGCTGAATCTATCAAGACCGCGCCGGTCACGGACATCTCCTTGCGCTACCCTTTGCAGCTTCTTTGCCACATAGCAGAAGAGCAGCCCTGGCCAGAAGAACCCCGCAGGACCAAAGTCGACAAGCGCAATCCATTGAACCACGAGGTCACGGACACTCCAGTGTGGACACTGTATGGTGGAAGAGGGAATCGGCCAGAGGTCCACCAGCTGTCTGCTTATGAGTTTGTCAGCCACTACTACATGAAGCAAGCAAAACGGCCCTTCTCTTTCAAACGGCAAATCGAAGACCCAGACAACTTCGAGGCAGAGCTCACAGAAAGAGGCATAGAGAAAGTTAGCCAGAACATCCGGAAGTTGGTTGCGGGGGAAGACTACAAGATCAAAGAAGAAGGTGGAGAAGGTTGGTTGCCATTGGGCCTCGGCAGACCTGTCCAAACCTATCGCCATGACTGGGTCATAGCCGCGCGACGACGGCCGCATGTGCCGGTGATCTTTGGTGCGCAGGGAAGCAAGACCACGGAAGAGCAAGCCATGAGGATCCTCGTGCTGTATTTCCCGTGGGTGAACGACCCGGCCGAAGCTTCATCCACAGTGCCGTTCATCACCGACATGTGGCGTGCGGGAATGCAAGACTGGAAGGAAGCTCTATTGACGCATGCGCGGAGCATCGGCTTTTTGACGGAGGAGGTGAAGCGCATGGTCATGAGCTTTGTTTTCACTTACTGCTTGCCGCGACAAATGCACTCGATCGATGGGTTGGGGGAGAACTCGGACAACGAGGACATGACCGATGAGCTGGCGGACATCGCCTTGGAAGAGGATGACCTCCTGGAAGCCACCTTGACCCACGTGCGCGGCAGCGGTCGCCAAGACCCCAGCGCGGAGGGTAACAACGGCAGCGAGGTAGAGGAGGGCGAGCAGACCAAGCTCTATGACATGACCTTGAAGCTCTTCAACCTGTCGGGCGCCATTTGGACGCATAGCGAGAAGAACATTGATGCAGCAGCGAAGAAACGCTATGAAGAGCTGCTCAAGCAAGTCGACGCCAAAGGCCCCTTCGACCACGCCAAGGCAAAAGAAGCTGCCTACTTGTCGATCAAACAGGGGGAGAAAAGATCCAAGAATGGGAAGACTTGTGCCGTCGGCGAGGTGAGTGCGGAAGTGGAGGCAGGGCGGAAACAATGAGCACAATTCTATATTTCGTAAGCATTACTAGGGGCCCTTTTTGGAAGTGTCGACAAGTTCGATCGAAGCGCGCGCAGGAACAGCCGAGAGTGACCATGACCTTGATCGATGAGTGGCTGGAGAGTGTCAGAAGCCAAGTTAACGTGGAGCAGCATATCTTCCTGGAGATCGTGGTTGACAGGCTCGCGGTGGAGCTCGGCTTGAAAGATACGGGCGCTTCGCACCGAGAAGATGGCGCCGAGCCCTTGCGGCACTTGCTCCATGCACCGCCAGGAACTGGAAAATCCCACGTCTTGAAGTTTGTTCAAGAGCTCTTTGCGTTGGCCGGGCTAAAGAAGGGCATCGACTATCAGTTCGTCGCGTTCCAGGCCACCAACGCCGCAGACCTCGACGGGGACACCATACATCACGCCTTCGGCTGGAACACCAACAAGCGCAGCTTTGAGCAAGCGATGAAGCCTGAAGCCGCCAAGCAGCTGGCCTACTGCCGGTGGCTCTTCATAGACGAAGTCAGTTTGGTTCCGGCAGACCTCTTCACACAGGTGGACCACCGCCTCCGGGAAGTCAAGTCGTCAGCAGATGCCTGGAAGCATGACCCCCTGATTGGCAACACGCGGCCGTTTGCAGGCGTGAACGTCATCCTCGTCGGTGACTTCAAACAACTTCCTCCACCCCAAGGCGGCAACCTGGCAGATGTTCCGCATCATCTTCGGGTGGGGCCCCATGAGACTTGCAAAGCACCAGACCCCATGGCAGATGCGGGCAGGCGACTGATGTGGGAAGACATCGAGGGCATGGTGGAGCTCACCGACCGAGAAAGATGCAAGGACGAGTGGTGGAATGAAGTCACGGACGAGCTCCGAGCCGGCCATCTGTCGGAGAACAATTGGCGCTATCTCCATGGCTACCCGGTGGATGGATGCAAGCTGTCCAAAGAGGAGCGAGAATCGAGACGCAGGGTCATCGATGGGCCCGGGGACCCACGGTTGAGGGAAGCAAGATTCCAAGAGGCGCCGGTCATCGTGGCGAACAACGATGCCAAATACCAGATCAACAAAGACCGAGCCAAGAAGTATGCTCAAGACGCGAATGTGCAGCTGCGATGGTCGGTGGCAAAAGACGTGGCAAGCACAGAAACCCTGCAAGCACAAGCCTGTGACAAAGAACGAAAAATTAAGCGACTAGATTTGATATATACGCAAGAAGTTTTGATCATACGTTTGCACTTTTCTTCCGCGTTGTTAGAAAAGGATTAATGTTCTGGTCCAGAAAGGATATACTACACAAGCATCACTGACTGAGGTGGTTGCAGTACCATGACAAGGACACTGGCAACTTGCTTGGTACCCTGCCGTTGGCCATCGGCATGAAAGTGGCTTTGACCGAGCACATCGACCGGTCCGAGGACAAGCGCCTTTTGCGGGGAACTGTGGGCATTGTCCATTCTTGGGTGTGGGAGGAAGGGTGGCAGCGTCCATCGGTGGTCTACTTGAAATTTGAGGGCGTAAAGTGGCAGCTGGAAGGGGTGTCGGAGCCAGGGGTGTATCCCATCGTGGCCCGCACAGCAGACTGGTGGTTGGACAAGGGGCGCAAGACTTTCAGGTGAAGAGGACTCAGCTTCCCCTCACGCCTGCCTATGCCATGACGGCTCACGCAAGCCAAGGGAAAACTTTGGTTGCGGTGCTCCTCGACTTGAACGTTGACAAAAAGATGGACCCAACCATCGGGCCAGTAGCGGCAACACGAGTTCGCAGCCGGCACGATGTCTTGATCCTGCGACCCTTTCCAGATTGGCTTTTTCAACGGACAGCCTCTGATGGACCAGAACTTTTGCTGCAGAAGTTGCGAGGGGAAGCGATCGATTGGGCCGCTTATCGGGAAGCCCGCAAACCTACGGCAAGCTGTCAGAAATGCCGGCAGCTTCTTCCCTTGGATGCCTTCGAGCACAAGCAATGGGAACGTGTCCGGGCCAACAACCTCGCTTCATGCATGACTTGCTGGCAAGGGAAACCTCCATCCCATCGTAGGCGGTTGGAGGCAGAGAACCTGAAAAAGCACAAATGCTGCGGCTGCAGCACAATGAAAATAGCAGATGCCTTTCCACGAGCGCAGTTGGCGCAGCCAGAAGCAGATATGATGAGGCACTGCCTGAAGTGCTTGCAAGTGAAGAGGGCCGACGGGATGCAATGCCGAAAATGCTTGATGACCAAGACGCCGGCCAAGTTCACACCGGCTATGACGACCATGCCCGCGGCCGGCATACTTTGCATTGGTTGCCAGGGCGCGGTGAAGAAGCAGATCAACCGACAATGGAAAGGCTTCTTCACATGCCAAGTCTGCTCCCAAATTTTCCCAACCGCAGTGGGCGTAGGCAAGGAGCGAAAGCAAGCCTGCTCCAATTGTGCGTCCAGGGAGGCTGACCGAGAGAAAGGCTGGCAGACCTGCCGAAGAAAGGCGTGCAAGCGAAAATTTGCAGACGGATGTTTGAAAGACGGGAAGAGGCAGCGCTATTGTCCAGAGTGCCGGGCCCGCTAGTGACACGAACGGCCAAAGCGCTGTATGTAGTACAGAACCTTCAGCGCAGGACGCAAAAGGGCACAATGAGAGCGAGACGCGAGCTTTCTTATGGGACGATGCGTTGAGATCTGGAATGGCGACGTTGGTTATTGAGATAACAAGTTTGGAAAGCATGGCAACTGCAGACGTTGCGCGCGAGGGTTTTTGCAATTCGAGCAAAAAACACGCTTCTTGGCCGCAGCGTTGCCAGCCTCAAACCTCTCACGAAAACGCGGACGTTAAAATTCGTCGCAGCCGGCGCGCCAAACTCCTGCAACTTGACTGTAAGTGGATGCAACTAGGGCAACATTTTGATGGAGCATGGGCTAGGTCGGTCGATGGTTTATGTATGTGTATGTAGGCTTCTCAAAGGACAATCTGTATACAAAAGGTCTTTGCATTCGATAGAAAATGGGAACGCAATTTAAAGGAACCACTTGGTCGATTAGGACAACAGAATGCCGTATTAAAGCCGACCGTTTTTCCAATTTAGTGCTCAAGAAGTAGAGGTTTAGAAGTCGGGAAGATCTAAGAATTTAAAGAACTATAGAAAAGGCTTTAAGCATTCATGCATTTAGTAGCTTTAGGGGTCTAAGTCGTTGGAATTTTAAAGGTTTAAGAGGTTTAGAATTCCTAAATTATTAAGGGTCCCCCCACAAGACTTAAAGGAAACGGGCGCTACCAAAATGCACCTCCTTAAAAGACTTAAGTGGCAGTGGCCGGGTTTCACCCTATAAAAGAAGGAAATGTCAGACGTAGGGCTCCAAAACCTCAGCCAAAAATGTGTACCGTAGGGCTTCAAAATCTCAGCAAAAAATGTGTACCGTAGGGCTTCGAAGTCTCGGCAAAAAATGTGTACTGTAGGGCTTCGAAATCTCAGCCAAAAATGTGTACCGTAAGGCGTGGCCCTATATAAAAGGATAAGTAAGTTTAAAGAAGGTTTGACTTGGACGCCACCACCTGTGTTAGCGAACCCTAAACCCTAAAACCCAAAAACCCTAAACCCTAAACCCTAAAACCCTAAACCCTAAACCCTAAACCCAACAAAACCCTAACCAAATGCATTCACCAACAAAACTCTAACCAAATGCATTCACCAACAAAACCCTAACCAAATGCATTCACCAACAAAACCCTAACCAAATGCATTCACCAACAAAACTCTAACCAAATGCATTCACCAAAAAAAACCCTAACCAAATGCATTCACCAACAAAACCCTAACCAAATATATTCACCAACAAAACCCTATTCAAATACATTCATCAACAAAACCCAAACCAAATGCATTTAATCAACAAAATCCAAATCAAATACATTCACCAACAAAACCCTAATCAAATATATCCATTAAAAACCACCCATCAAATACATGCATATCTCAATAAATCTTTAAGCAAATATATATAATGCAAATTCAATAAAATCATCGATAAAATAAATAATCATCTCCACTAAAAAATATCCCCATCATACATACCATTACCTACAAAACCACCACCACGACAAACATCAGCAACGCCAAAGCCACCACCACCACAAACACCATCGCCACCAACCAAAACCACCCCCAACAAAACCACCACCAAACAAACCACCACCAAACAAAACCACCACCAAACAAAACCACCACCAAAC